GTGTCTAGATGAAATTTTATGGTAAAGTGATCTGACCAATCTACATGACTGTGTATACGTTTTTTTGGCAGAGTATTCACATCTGACACTTTTAAGCATAGTCTAGGGAAAATCGTATGCACAATTTGTCCCGAGTGTTTTAAACTAATGCCAAAATAAAGTGTTAAACACTTTTATTGGTGAGATTCTAACACAGCTAGTGTTAGAATGCTCATATTCAGTCTATCTTTTAGTCATTTTCAGACGACCTTGAATATATCATTCTGTACAGTCAATTATAACTCAACAACACAGGTCATCTGTAATTAAGATGCCAATTAACCGAAACCAAATGCTAACTTATTTAATATTTTATACGTTCGACTTAGCACCGAGTAGTGAACTATGAGTATTGCGAAAATCATTTTTATAAATTGAAGGCAGTTTTCCTCACAATCAGACAGATATTTAGGCAGTTTATGACTATGGATTAGAAGTTTCTTAATTGGCTACTAACCACATATATTAGTAAAGTTTGATTATTATAATTCATTTTATGTAAGGATAGTTTGAAACAAGGGGCCTTGTGGATATATATTAGCTAATACTTTATATATCAAGGCATATCTTCAATTTCGAAAGAACTGGGAGTACCAAAGAGAACGGAATCCGTGTCTTTCAAATATCCAATGTAAGGGATATTAACATCGAGTTACTGTAGTCTCAAATGACATCTCGCAGAACTAGAATGTCTACACTGATCTATTTGTGGGTAGTGATCAACATCCAACGATTTAGTCCTTAGTAGAGACCTAATAAGTAGATAAATAAAAGCAATACGCTAGGACGGTAAATCGTTTAGATTGATAGCCATATTGTAACTTGGTCAATAGAATACGACCAACAGTTCGGAGTAGATAACATTGTTTATTATTCAGTAATATATCTATTTGAATTTGTGTTCTAGTCCAATTGTGTTGCAATTTGTTTGGTTTGATTCTTTTCATTTAGTTACAAATCTACTCTGTCCATTACAAATTCCAGTCAACACATTTATAAAACTTGTGTAGGTAGAACGAAATATTTATCCAGGTATCTGTGGTATAGAGAAACTATGTAGTATAATACTGAAGATAAATTTGTTCACCGGTGAGAACCTTGAGCTAAGGATCGTCCACTGCATGAACATGTAAATTAACTTGAGTTTATTTCTTAATTTTGTTCATTCACTTGTCAGCTGAAACTGAATATTTCTTAAATATGCATTTGTTTAAATGATTGAAAAATTATGAATAATCACTGTTTTTCATACAGTATTTATAGTGTCATTATTTCATGCGCAGTTTCAATCGTCATAATTAATCTTATTATTAATCGGTTACAACATGAATTATCACGAATACACAAACAGCTATCCGTTCGTCAAATTACGTATACTATGGATACGGGTTCTGTTACTGCATTCGTTCCATTTTATTGATATAATTATTCATATTCTTACGTTCTCAAATATCCAGTCAGAAAAACAAGAGGTTGGTTGAGTGGGTTGCAGCTTTTATTTAATATTTAAACTCACTAGTAGTTAACCAGATAAAAAATCATGGTAAAATGAAGGGTAAAACTACATGAAACTGTATAGAAGTACCACTAAATCAAAGGCATATAAACAAGTTTATCAAAGGAATAAATACCAAAATTTCAAAACATAATCTTTTTTGACTCTTCTCAGAAGTCATTACCATTATTGATTAGCATTATGTTGTTACTCTGTCGTAAATTTTTAAATTTAAAGATGTAGATTAGCGAATCCTAAGTTGATGGTTTAGGGTAAGATTCAGAAGTTGTGTCATTAGTCCCTAACGAAATCGCGTTACTCGTTGTTATGAAGGCCAGTAACTTCCCAACTGGTGTCGACCTCAGCATAAACCTTTCAATTTTAACATTCCAACAATTATTTCAACAGTCAAAATACTTTTCCATAACTATAAACAGATGTCCTCAGCAAAAATATTTCAAGGAATGTTAAACATAGGGGAGATGATCACGAGATCAACTGCTGTGCTTACATCTGTTTGTGGCATTAAACAAGAACGTACAAATTTCAGTATGGGGTATAATAATAATAATAATAATAATAATAATAATAATAATAATAATAACCTTTAAGTGGGGGAATAATTAAATATTAATCGAAATATTTAATAGGTGATAATGACTACTTATTATCAAAGGATTATTTTAAAATTTCATTTTTTTCACCTAATTTTGTTCTGATTGTCGTGTGAATAGTTAAACACTTTAAGTGGCTTAATAATAAGTTGATAAATTAGTTGTCACTAATGAAAGTCATCGAAACTGACTAGTGAACACTTGAGATACACATTTCCCAAATGAATTGCAAACTTCCCTAATTCTTGACTATCTAACAATAAAGAAGTAGACAATGACAGATTGAAGATTAACAATAACCGATGAAGATCGAGGTCGATAGGACAAGCTACGAATCATATGTGGAGAAATTCAAACACTTCATTTCTACCTGAAGTTTGGGCTGGTAATGTCGTTCAGAAGAACGGCGAAGGTTCAACAACCACATCATCCAACTCAGAGAACGAAACTGCACCGAAATCACCCGCCAGAGCTACAAATCTTCTCCACCATCTTAAAAAAATCAATGATTATACAACTGGAGCCTTATACTTTAAAGTTATTTAAAAAAACTAAAGCATACCTATACATTTGCATATGAGTTTGGTGTTTTGAAATTTCCCACTAAAAATATTAAGATTGTTAGAGACTTATATATTTGATCATTCAAACTAGGTAGAAATGACACACAATGCATGCTAATTTCCAAGATTTGCCGGGATTATTAACAATCATCCACAGTAGTCATCAGCTAATTAAATATACTCTTCAATTACTTTTTTGAAGATCAGATTTTCTAGAAGGAAATTTATCCAGTGTTGTCACATATTCAATGAAGATTTAACTGAATTAATTTAGTAATACTGATTGTTGAATTTGATTATGTAGCATGAGTCTATTACACTTTTGTGTTTCAGTTATTAGTCGAGGAGCTGATGTCAGCTGGATAACACTGAATTACTGAAAGGTCATAACACTAGCATTACGCAGATTTGTTTTCATATGATATCAATTCCTTACATAATGTATTGTTAGAAATAATTATTTTTGAGTGAACCTCAAGTAGATATTTATCGAAGTAATAAAAAGTGATCTTACCTACTGAAAATGAAGAAAATCATAGAATAGTTGTAAAATAAACTTATACAAATCTAGAGGTAGGGGAATCGACAAATGAACTATTCGGGTTTAATCAGTTTGAACAAATATTGACAATATGATTACTGTATAAAGTACTGAACATCAAACTGCATTAATAATAACATGAGGAGCAGCATTAGTAGTGTCAGTTAGTCATCCATTAGTTCGCCCGGGCGGTAATTCAATCAGAGGAAATGAAGGACTTAGTATAAATGAGAATCTGTCCAAGCTGCCATACCAAATCCCCATAAAGAGACCAAATTAGCAGGCTGAATATAATTAATGGTAAACTAAGGTTTAAGAAGATCAGGGAAGAAAGAATAAATTCGTGGAATAAAACTTACTAAATGATATAATGGAAGTATAGTTTATGCTATGCCACCCAACTTCTGCAACCATTGACAACCATTGTTAACGTTATTGACGGTAGTTGTTATTACATTCTGAAGTGAATAATCATTGACTATCTTGTAACTGTTATTTTCATTCATGATTATCTATCCATTAACTGAGAATTTGCATATAGTCACGTTGATTCCCTTAAATATTCTGTACATAAATAACGGTTTTCATTTTTGTAGCATAATGATTCTGTTTTTTGTAGCTTATTCAAATAAAATTTGACTATCTGTCGCATGAATAAATCGTGAACGTAACTGTTTTATTGGTATTGGTTTGTCACCAAATAGACTGATTTTTTAAAACCATTGTATATACAGTAGTCGTTGTAATTGAATTCTACTGAGTGGTGGGGGATATTACAAATCTCATTACAAATTAGTGTTGTTATTGCTTCCAACCTCATTTAAAATTATGGTATCGTTTATTATCAGCAACATTGTTATTATCGCCGGAAAACTATGATGGTAATCATATTTTACAGACTAAGTTGGAATGTTTTGGTATAATCTAAATGAACAGAGTGACCGTGTACCATATGGTCAACTTTATCATACAATTTTCTACCATAAGTGTACACTTATACTCCAAACAAAGAATATATTATTGTTATTACTGTCATTGAGGTTGTAAATTACTCCTTCTTCTGCTACAATTATAAGTACTAATGCACTAATATCCATGTTTTGTTACATCTGTTCATTGTAACTGGAAACGAACAAACGATAATTAACAGCTGTCTTAAATTTTCAATCTTTACAGTGGATGAATATTTTTATAAGTAATTTTCGGGTAAAAGAAAACAAAACTGGAAAATAGATCGCTTAAAAGCACAGTCATTCAGCAAGCAACATGTTATCACTTCATAGCTGGTACTTTCATAGTACTTTAAAATCAAAATGAAAAGGTTAATTTATCCTCTAAAGTTAATAATATCCACCCACCTACTACGCTTTAGGGAGAACGGAGCAACAGCGTATCATTCCCAGATGCCTGACTAACAAGAAGATTAGATCAAACAGCAAATAGAAGGATACGTAGAAAATCCATAACCCGATAATCTATTCATTTCTCTGGTTCTGTACCAATCAAAATCCCAAAAGAAATTCCAACTGACCATGCCTAGATGATTTACTCTAACGATTTGTTGAAGATGAATTAATAATAGTCTCAACGTTCTTAGTAGAAATGGATAACCAGCTTAATTCATCAGCAAACACATAAGTGAAACGAAAATGAAACGAAAGGTAACAATAGCTACTCTTCTTGAAGTTACAGTAGCTAAATGACTCGACCGACGAAATAATAACACTAAGATTAGAGAAAATACTCACCAGGACCAAACTGAATGCGGTTCTCTATAATCGTCCGATAATGAGAACTGCCAATAAAACCAGACTTCCTACGTCCACCAAATCCATGTGCATTTGTCAATTCAACAATTTCTGTGGAGGTGTTAATATAGGACACATGGTTCGAAAAGTTCGTCATTGTTTAGCAGAACACCATTCATCTTAGATCAGCAAAGTACAGGTAGGAGTGTCTAGAATATTTATTCTCGCTCACTTGCTGGACAAGAATATCAGTTTGACTAGAATAAAGCTTTTAAAGTGATCCACGATATCACATCAAATGTTCCACATGATTTATAAGTTCGTCTTTTGCACACCACCGAAGTTACCTCTTTACTCCAAAAGAGTTTGTACAACCCCTCTCTCTTTTTCGGTCATTACAATAAAAATTTGTTTTGGCTGCTTTAAATTCTTATGAATAATTACTTGGATTATTATAATTCTTCTTCTTCGAATTACTCAATCAGTCATTTGATATCATTTTTATGATCGTTTTGAAATTATATCATTATTATATCACACCACTAATCCATTAGTATTAGTTTATTGTAGTAAATCGTATATGTATCAGAAACCAATTGAAAAGAAAAGAGAAAAATAATGTCTTGTTGTTATCGTTGTGATATGCTTCTCATCATGAACATTACAATGACTAATACACTTGCAATTAAACTATCATTTATTTGAAAAGAATTCATTTATTGAACAACGACAAGTTTCTGTTTCAAGTTGTTCATTATATACATAAAAATTGTTAGTGTTTACTTTGTCGCTTAAAAAACTTAACTACAACACAAAATCAATATAAAATAGCTTTTTTGGTGAATCAGTGAAGAATCACTGAAAAAAGTCCTCGTAAATCGTATTCACTTCGTATCAGTCATTTTAAGGATATAAGAGATTAATAACAGGAGGGGTTTTTGTGGATATTATAGTAATTTCAGTAGTTGAGATCATGAGTCAATTGAAGCTAGACCACCATGGAAAACATGGAAGCAAAGGACGACCGTTTCGTCCTATTGTGGGACTCCTCAGCAGTGCATATCCGCGATCCCGCACGCGTGACTCGAACACAGGACCTTCGATCTCGCGAGTGAACGCTCAACGGTGTTAATGTCCAACCACCATTGTCTTCAGCGACTAGCTGCCTCTCTAATAGACACAGTTGAACTAACACTATTGGATTCCGGCTCAGTGGTCTAGAGTGTAAGAGTTGACCCGCGAGAACCAAGGTCCTGTGTTTGAGTCACACGTGCGGGGTTGTGGATGCTCACTGCTGAGGAGTTCCACACTACGACGAAACGGTCGTCCAGTGCTTCTAGGTTTTCAATGGTCGTTTAACATTCATCTACTCATGACATCAATTAAAACTCAACAACCTCCATCACCCCATAAAATTGTCCAAGGTCATCCTGCTTCTAATCGCAGACCAATCAATCTTTAGTAATCAGTTATTATATTTCGTTGCTCTGTTTTTCACTGTAGTTTTCTTTAAGAATGAATATTTATATAAATTTTGTTATATTAAAGAAGTACATTTTTCCAATTGATACTTTATTCATAATGCATTTACAATACATTTTCATAATTAGTTTGTTCAATAAACGAAACAGTTGATACTATTGAAACTGTACAAAATTTATTCAGGTGAACAAATTCAGATTATGAGAATTAATTCACTGATATGTAATTGTAGGTTTTCGAAAGTCTAAAAATTCAACATAGGATAAAGATCTAGCTCGATCATTAATATGTAATATTCTTTAAAATGTATTGAAATAGCCTTGGTATACCATGAAAAGTGGCTTTGATAGGCTAAATTCATTCTATCAAAATTACATATGTTTGTATCATATTAACTGAAAACATTGTGAATAATACTCTTACCATTGCAATATTAACTACTATAACTACTATTACTACTACATCACCTTAAAAAAACATAATGAAGTGATAGTTATGTTGTCATACAGGTGTGGTCGATTTCGAGGACTTTCTCACGCCAGTCTTAGTTCTCGTCTTTTCTCCGTCCCCATCCCCCATCTCTATATTTTTTTGGTGAATACAGAAAAGGACATTACCTCTTGGGAAAAAAGGTGTAAATTTTGAAAAGAAATAAAATATTTTTTTCTTATCACATCAACGTGGATATAAATATTTCTTTTCTTGTCCAATTTTGTTTTACAATGAGAAAATTAGTAAAGACTTGATCACATGTTGTGAATTTCGACACGTGTGTTTGTATGGTGATGAAAATGATTATTATTATGATGATGATGTTGATGTTGAAGGATAAATTAAGCAGAATAAAAAAGTATCACAATGATGTAGTTGTTTAAGTAGAGTATTGAAACTATGCTCCTTATTTCCTTCACTCTGTTTTCTCACTAGTCACTTACGCACAGTATATCCCTTTCTCTTTCTCACTCTTTCACTCTAACTTCATTACCCTTGTCTATTTGGTAACTAAACATAAATAATAGTAATGGCAAAAATGATAATTGCACCAGCTGTTGGTCAGGATTATTGGATCCCAGGCTTAATTTGACCACTATACCGGATCACATTTTTAATCGGGCAAAATAAGTATTCATTTTTTTCATGTCTATATGCGTGCACAATGATAAAGAATTATACAGCTGCATGTAGATGTATAAAATTCCCGTCTTAACAACAACTAAAACAGAAAATAAACTAAAATTGTCAGAGCTAACAAAATTATGCTTTACTAGTAAATTATTTTTATGTTCACTTTCGTTTTCCCCCTTCCTTACCCTTGGTTTTCCTTTTACCTAAACTATCACATAACAACTGATCTATGTAACCATGATGCAACAATACCCAAAATACTAGTAGTCTGTACTACGTATTTATCTACTCTGTGTGTTTGTGTGAGAGCAAATGTGTAAAGCATGAAAACACCTGAATATATGTTTGAAGGTAATAATAATAATAATAATAATAATAATAATAATAATTCTTGTCAGTCAGATGAATGGATCTCAAAGAAGGTGTGAAGATGAATTACATTTCAATAGGGAAAAAAGTGGGAAAACTAATGAATTAAGGTAGATGTAAATAAAAAAGTTTATGGGAATAAATTTTAAGCTGAACAGAAGATAAGATAAACTGAATCAGTTTCTGGATATTTCATGAGCAGTCTAACTTCAACTAAAAATATTCTACCGTTTTAATGAGTTTTATACAACACTTATTTCAGTTAGATAATCGTTGAATTATTATTAGGTAATGGGTTTTGTCCAGCAAGCTATATTCTATGACATTTATCTATTGACAGCAATTATAACTGTCTTATTCGTAGAACCTTGACATTTATGCTCAAAGTCACTGGTCTACAATTAATTATACTATCAGAATGGAATGTTTATGACTAATGCTTAAAAACAATTATAATATTGAATAACACTTTATAATATGCGATTGTAATTCTTATGATAATTTTGTTTAATGTTTAAAATAATAAAACCATTTATTTAGTTTAGTAATGTCTAAAGTAAGATATAATTATACCATGTAAAAATGACCAGTCACATCGATTTGTGTTCAAAATGTTCCTGTCATACATTTCCTCAAGGCAGTAAGTATTCATTTTGGTCTTTTTTTAAAAACTGTATACCTCGTTTGCACCAGATCGTTCCATCATGGAGCTTACACTGCCTTCATGTAAGATCTCATAACAACATTGACATTCTCAGTCATCCTCCGGTTTCTGTTATACGAATCATCTTTAAATCACTGTTGTCCTATATATCTAATTGTTATAGATTGTTCCCATAAAGGTATCTTATATGATTACTGAAACATCAGTTCACTTTCCCCCCTGATACGCTCTCAGAAACACTTATCTTCACACTTACCCCATCAATTCAAGCAGACCTTCAAACCAGACTCAAACTCATCTAAAACTGAACGTTAAAATACGGCCTTTTTAAATATTCTTTATACCAAGTTAAGATCAGTTCGTAATTAAACTGTGAAAATACTGTTTACTCTCCATTTTTATACTCATTATTATGTTGGATAACGGCTAAAGTTGACATTTAAAATGCAGATTCTGAATTTCCTGCTATGATTTTCTTATTAGTCTATAATATCCTAATTGTTGACTGATATGAGCTACTGGGCTGGAGTTCTTAAACTGCTACAGTGTGCCTGCTGATTACTTTCAGGTTTTTTCCTTTATATTTCCAGATGATATCAGTCAGTGAGTGACAATAACTATCTTCAAATTAAAGAAACGTGATCATGTCAGCATGTAATTAGTGATAAATAAGTTGCAAAGAGATAGAATTTATTGAGTTATTCGGGGAAACATCATGCATCAGTTTAGTGTCATTTGTTAGAGCTACATAGTTGTATTAATAGATATTTGTCTAGTTCTGTAGGTCGCTTCGTTGTATTTTTACGTACCATACACATACTTGCTTTATTGCTCTTGTTTCATAGAAATCAAATCCTTAGATGACCGATACGCTTTTCCATAAGAGTTTATTTAGTATTTTCATTACCTATAACAATTTAATAAACTTATAACCGTAACGCTTAACGTTTTAAAATTTACTGTTAAGTTACTATGGTGACTTTCAACTTTTACGATAACATGCTCCATATTCGAGTTGATAAACATTATCAAATTAGATTACCTTGAATGAAAATAAATATTGATTCGGTTACACAAATCCCAAGATTTTATTTAATAAAACATCAGTTTATATATGACCGAACATTAGTGGGTAATTCATTTTGAGTCTAAACTTAATTATGACTAATCGAGTTTAATTTTGGTTAAATTTATTCAGGAGGGGGAGGAACAAATTTCAATCGATAATTTTCTTTAATAATATACAGAGGTAAGAAGTGACTCAAATATAATTCAATTTGTTTATATTCATTGGTTGTAAAAAAGCTAGTAGTTCAATCTATCACTCTATAAGTGAATTAATTGTAGAGTAAGGAATGTTGCTTAACTTAATTACAATGATTGGAAGAAATATCTTATGATAAACATTATACAGATTAATAATTAAAGCGAGCGCGCACTTATGGTCAATGTGATATAGTTGGAAATACTTTAAAGTGAACATAAACAAAATTTCACATGGACTTCCTAGCCTGAAG